GAAAAGAATGAATCCAGACACTTACATAGGAGAGATACACATTCTCCCTAAATCTTAGCACCAGCATCTTCTCTACCCAAATCCACGTACAAATACACTTTCATACACTTCTTTGCTCTTTGAGAAGGACCCTCAGTCATTCTTTGGAGCATAAATAAATCTCACCAAGAGAGAGATAAGATTAGCTTCTTCAGCTTTCAGCCAAAACAGGGTCTCTTTGGTTCCAGATTTCATTCCTTCCTTAAAGTATAAATATAGCCCTGCGGGAAAAAGACATCTCTGAAGTAACTCCAAATAATCTCTCACTAATGATTAGTCATAAAGTAAATTCTATCCATTCTAGTCAAGATCCCAATTTTTACTAAAATTTGATCAGAAAGCTCCAATAGCATGGAAACATAAAAATATTTTCTCTACAGTCTCACAAAGCACTGAATCAGAATTAGAAGGGCTGTGAGTTTGTGAACATTGTCCCATTCTGGTGAGAAGCTCACATTTGTAGACATGCAGGCTGCCGAGACCTACAGCCATAAGAATCTCTGGCCTGCAGCCTTGGGACCTGCATTTCTCCCCAGTTCCCCAAGTGACTCTTACCCACCACAGACATGCTCTCCTTTATTTCTGATAAAGCGTCTTTCACCTTTTCTGCTGCAATAGATATTTTATCTTATGCAGGTTTTGCTGATTCAGTCTGCAGTTTTCAGGACCTTCCAAACATGTAAAGAAATGTTGCAGTCTTGCCCAGAGAGTACATAACTACATAACTCATATAAAAATAAATACTGATATTGCAAGCTTCCTAGGGTTCCAGTAATTCTATAAAATCTGAAAAGGTAATGATAAAAAATATGCACTTTAAAATTACAAACCAACTTTAAAGCAGTGCTGACATTTTCTTCCTTTAGTAGAAATGTATCTATTTATAAAAAATACCTGCCTTAGTAAAGAAAACTTTTGTAAACACTAGAACATCTTTTATTAAGTAATCTCTTCACTAGTACACTTAAAAATCTACTAATGTATTTTGGTTCACTAATTGCCTGTATCTCCCTGTATCTACAGAATATGCTTCAATAGGTAAAGTTGAGATAGTTCTACTTTTTGTCTTAATGCTTTAGAAAATTATATGAAATTGCCAAACTCTTTTCCAAAAGAGTGGTACCATTTTTCATTTCTACAAGCAAAAAACAAAAATCATTTCCCATTTTTATCAGCATCTGTTATTGTCAGTATTCCAGATTTTGACCATTGTAATATATGTAGAGTGTTATCTTACTGTTTTATTTACATTTCCCTGGTGGTATATGATATGACTTTATGAGCTTATATGCCACCTGTATATCTTCTTTGGTGAGGTGTCTATTAAGACCTTTTTTTAAATCGGATTGTTTGTTTTTTCTTATTAATAAATTGCAAGAGTTCTTTGTATATTTCAGATATTTTTTTTCCTGTTTTGTGTGAAAATATTTTCTCCAAGTCTGTGACTTGTCTTCTCATTATTTTGAGCCTTTTTTTTTTTTATAATGCAGTGATCACTGCTTTCCTCAGCAAAATTCAGAAAGGAAGCAAGGTGGGTTGAGGGATCAATGAGATGCAAGAAATGGAAGCCTTTAGTAATAAGCTGCTTGAGAAATTTTGTACTGAAGGGGTAGAGAAGGATAGGATTAGGTAGAATAAAGGTAAATTTGTAATAGTTGGGGGAGATTTGGGAATGTTTCTGGACCAAAAGGAATTGTCCGTGAACTTGGAGCAACTGCACAGTGCAGATGGTACCTAACTGCTCTAGAAAGCAACAGTGGGACCTAAGGATGACTAGGTTCCAGGTAGATTAAGAAGAAGGACACCTTTTCCTTAGATTGGGGAAGAGAAGTTAAGGTTGTACACAACGCACATGCCTAGTAACTTAATTTTGTTTCCTGTTGTCTAATAAAGAAGAGGCAGAGTCATTGACTAATAGTGAAAAAGACAGACTTACAGAGGGCACAATGAGGATTTGGAGCAGTGTTTGAAGAGGGCAGACAGAAGCCAAATAGAACAAGTGAAAAGATGTCCAAGAGAAGATGAGACCCATGCATTTTTTAAAAATATTTATTTATGTATTCATACAGAACTGGGGTACAGGCTAGAGATGTGGAGTGTGAGAGGATTCACCAGGGACAGAGTGGGAAGCAGAACAGGCAGATTGATGAAGTACACTGCTGAGGGGAGCAGCGGGCAGGTCAGGAGAGGTCTGCCATGCCATGTGGATCACCTCCGGGGCAGGCGGGCATCGAACTCATGCAGAAGTGGCTTAAGCTTCTTAGTGCTGTGCTTCAACCTGCTGCGCCACCAGAGAGGGCGCAAGACCCATGCATTTTTTAATGGTATTGATTCAACAGTTAGGTAAATTTTGATCAGAGAGGGAAAAGAACCAATGATCTGGTTAATCCAAGATGGGATGTTTAAGATGGGTGTTGTAGAGCAGACTGAAGTGATGAACTATTTGTTAGACAGAATCAGAAATAGAAGAGAAATCAAGAGGGGATAATAATGAATTTTTGAGAGGAAGTTGAGGAATGAAAGTCTTGATGACTATGAACAACACCGACAGTAACTCTTGAGAAAATTAGAACTGTGAATCATAAAGTAGAGGATTTCAGAATTGTACGTTGGCATAGCTTGAACAGATCCTGGTGTGAGATTAAGTTAAAGAAAAAGCTGAGCAGGACTCAGATGGGTAAGAGAAAGGGACTCAGTATTTTAAGGATGTGCGTGCATTTACTGAAACTATGTTGAATTATTCACTGGCTGTAGCAAAACTCCCTGGGGATAGAGCTAGAGGTGGGTAGGTACTCAACAACTCTCTGAATGCTTCTTCCTCATCTCCTACTATTTGTATACAGTTATGAGTGCATTTTGCCTTCATCTTACTAATGGAGGTGATGTCTGTGTCTTGTATTGGTTTCTGTCTTGCCTTAAAAGGATTCAGAGACATTTTGCAGGGGTGGAGTGGGGAATGGGATCAAAAATGGGGGGTGAGGGGGTGCGGAGGGAAGTGCACGGGATTATGGTGATGGCACACGGGTGACTTGGTGATGGGAAACCCACAGGGATTACAATTGAGATGGAAAAAAAAATGTACAAAATGATGTAAAAATAAACTTATAAAAAAACACCAAAAAAAGAGATTCAGTTGACCATTATTGTTATGTTTCAATTTAAAATGCAGTTGAGACATATTTTGCTGTGTTTTCTATAGAGTGATGTTCTTTTATAGAAACTATTCTGAAATTAATAGAAAGGAAGAAAATGTATGGAATTCTTGCAAGTTTTTATTTGTACACTACTTCAGTGGTGGGATTATTAGTTCAAGTCAAAGGTCATTACCCTACTAATACATAACAAAACATAACTATCTTTAAGCTTGTATAAAAAAATAATACAAATCCAAAAAATAATACAAATAATCTAAATTGTGTCATATTGTTTCTAGGGTAGGTTCAACCCATTTTGCTATATAAAGAACAAAACTCACCTCAAGGTGACATAGGCCCAGAAAACAATATAAGCGTTAGAAAAGGTGAGGTAACATTTGACAGATTGTGGAGAATGCATAGTCAACTTGTGGCATCTTTCAACTGTGGAAGAGAAGAGCGATAGGTCTGGGAGCAATTTGTTTATCTCATCAGCATTTTATGGAGTATCTATGTAGTGCTAAACATTGTGCAAGTTACTATAGATAAAAAAATGGAATATGGGACTTCATAATCTGTGGAAAGAGACACAAATATTAACACCTACTGTGCCAGTGTGAAGGTAGGGGGATGTGTTACAGGAAGTTAGCATCTTCCCATTCTTTTCTGAAAGTTTTTTAAGAACAGCATGGAAAATAGAAAGCAAAAATTGAAACACAAATCAGTTAAATTAGGAGATGTGTATCAAAATACTGTGTAGGGCTGATCAGGGCTGGCAAGATAATGCAGGAATTCCACAGGAGGAGGAGAAGAGGTGAAGAGAGGACCCAGCACCTCTGAAGAACCAGTAGAGCTACACTTAATGCTGACCAGCTCATTTAGAGATGGAAAAGCAGCAGTCCTTGTCTACAGTGCTCAGAGGGCACTCCCAGGAGCCCCCAGGACCTCCTTTGATAGAAGGAGGGGTGTGGGTGTGTTAAAAGGGCCCAGAAAAGCTGCATGTGTGGAAACAGTGTTTGTAGCCATGAGAAGAAATCTAGTCTTGCTGTGAAGAAAGAAACCTGGCTTGGAATCGTGTTCTCCACCCTTAGATTAACCTTCCTACAGAGTACTTTGGCAGAAAGCTATTTTTGGAAAACTGGATTCTTGTAATGATGTGTTTTAGAAACAAACTATTGCTAGTAGTAGTTAAATGAGATATCAATATCCTCCAAAAATCATGAAAGTGTGAACAAGGCACCCATATGAATATATGGCATGTAAACAGGATACTTTCAATGATAAAAATGAAACAATTACATATGTTCTTATGAAAGCACTCAGCAAATCAGAAACAGAAGAAAGTTCCTCTAGTAATAAAGAACATCTACAAAAATCTTATAGCTAAAACCACTCTTATTTAGTAAAAAACGAATTCTGTTTCCCTAAGATCATGGATTAGACAGGCAGGTTTGCTCTAGCACTCCTACTCAGCATTGTATAGAAAGTTCTAGAGAGCACAAGGAAAGTGGAGAAGACAATAACGGGTACTTAGACTGCAGTGAAAGAGGTAAGCCTGTTCTTTTCTTCAGATGTGATAGTCTCTAGTAAATCAGATGGACCTATAAAAATTTCACTAGAACTAGTAATGGTAACACTAGCTTGGTTAGCAAGGTTGCAGGTAACATTTGAGGCTTCAACAGACCATTAAATTCTTTGAGACTGTGCATCAGAATGTTGTTGTGGTTAGTCTAAATTGAAAGGACCCTCAATTATCAGTGAGAATATGCTGTCATGGCCATAGTAAAGTATTTTGACTTACTTTCTTATTTTTTTTTTCCATAAAAGCCTCAGTTTATACCAACAAGTAGGATCACTGAATTTACTACCACCTTCCAAACTTCAACATCTAAGGTGAGTAACTAAAATAGTATTGAGTCATTTCTATCATCTTTCCAGTATGAAGGCTATGACATATCAAGTGCCAAATGTCTTGGTTTTTGAAGTTCCGGAAGTGATACACTAATAGATATTTTTAAGCTGTCATCAATTTTGTTCTTACTAGAGTGATATTTTATTGGGGAAAACTCAGAAGATCAAATATAAATAAGAAAATTTAAAACACCTATTGTCTTACTGTTGGAGGTGATGACAATTTAGAATAGTGTATTTCTTTTCAGTATAATTCAAGATACAGTCCATAGAAAATATAATACACATGAAAAAATATATAATACACACACACACACACACACACACACACACACACACATGGAGATACTGATTTAGTCTCTCTGTGTGTGTTCACCTACAAATAAGTTGTATATGTAACTCCTATGAGGTATTTTGTTTGCTGAATGTCATATTATATTTCTCAAATATCTCTTATCATCTAAACTTGAAAATTCAGAGGGAATATTTTTGAACTTTTAGAGCTTTTTGTTTGTATCAGTCACACACACAGATAAGGAAAACTGTAATTTTTTATTTGCATTTCTTAAAAGGCAGGATTACTAAATCCCAGGATTACTAATTACCTATAGATAGGTAATTGAGTTATACACACCAGGGATACAAAGGCAAAGAAATCTCTATTGTGGCAGAGTCAGGCAGAATCACAGTATATTCTCAATTTGGGGTCTTCTGTGCCCTCAAAATAGGGTTTCTTAACTCAGTTCAGCTCTGCTAAATCAAATTCTGAATGAGTCTTTAGAACAGTATGCATTTGCCAAAGTCTATTTTCTAAGCTTCTGAATTTTAATGATTTTATTAATAGTAAGTATTACCTAGTGTCATAAGGTTATGAGAGCAATGGTAATTAATTATGAATAAGCTGATCAACAGAAAATAATAATAAAAAAACATGTTCTTTGTTATTTAAGGAAAATGTGAAATCTCGGAAAATTAGACCTTTGGGTAATGAATTGAAGCCCGAGTCTCTTGCATCCTGTGAGCTTCCGGTCAGCCACAGAGGCTGGAAAAGAAGCGCGAAAGGGACAGACTCTGAGAGAGATCATAGTTCAGAGACCGGTAGGATGAAGAAGTCTGTGCAGAAGAAAGTGAAACTGCAGCCACAGAGATACCCAGCAGCCCTGCCAGAATGTGTCAGATGCACTGAGAGCTCCCAGGTGTTCCAGGTGTTGTTTTTTTTTTTTCTTATTCACAAAATTTATAGTCATTTAATTGTTCCAGAAATAGCCTTCAGGAAAGGTTTTGCTTCATTTTTCACATTTTTGAAACACTCTAATTATAGCATACACATTATTACGTGAGTTTCCTGGACACGATTCCAGTTTCTATTCTTCTTCTGTATTCTCTCTTTTGGAGGAAACGTCAGATGGCTAATATCAGCACCTAGGCACAACATGTGGGGAAGTGAAGCAACTGAAGGGCCTGCGTTAGAATAGAATTTTCCCACTGTATTAAGAGAGAAGTATTCGTGAGGATAGAATGTAATGTTGAGGATTTTGTGTTCGGCACTTAAAAGCAAAAGTGCTCAGCCGGATTCTACATCTATTGGCTACCACTGAGGTCAAGGTTCTGGGAAAATGATAAGCCATGTTTTAGTGTATTTGTTATTGATAATACAACAAAGTATTGAGACTGGTTTTACAAACATTCCACTCCAGAATTTTGACATATACAAATGAGTTGTTTTACTTTTTTTTTTTAAGAACTACCACACATTCATTATCATTATAATATTGCTCTTATTTTATTCCTCTTTGAGAAGTTACTTTCAGATTTAGCTTGTAACAAAAGCCATATCTGCCCTTGAGTGGGCATTTACACCATGACAGGCCCAGTGCTAAATGAGTATAGATACTCTCTCACTACCATTTTAAATCTTAGATAGCCCAAAATTTATTACACACTTTATCTCTCTTGATCATCAAATTTGGCTTCTAATGCTTTTTTACTGGTTCCTTTAAGGGCGGATATGGTCCCCATGGAAAAATATTCAAATGAACTGCCAATATTTCTTAAAGCAGTGAACTAATTTGATCAGCAAATATCTCCTGAAATCCTGCCCTGCGTAAGATAGTGTGTTAAACATTGTGGGAGACCGGAGAATTTAGATGCTATTATTTCAAGAGGAATTATCCTGAATAATAGTTACATTGCAGAAATATCTCACATATCCTTTTATAATACCTTTGGCAATAGTGTTTAGCTTCCCCTGAAAATCTTCAGTAATGAAGATTCATTACCTCCTAAAAGCAGTCTCTTCTCAGTCCAGCTTTGGGTAATTTATCTCTTAAAATATTTGAAATCTAGTTCTCTATATTGAAGTTTAGGCCCTATGTTTTTTCCTTAAGACTGCAGAAGCTAAGGTGAGTCTGTCTGACCTTCAGGTTTACTTTGAATTGTGTATCATCTGTGAATGTATAAGCTCTTATGGTAAGCAGATTCTCAATGCTTATATGTCCAAAGTACTACATGTTTGTAGTGCATCGTTTCTTTTTATTGTCCTATCTCTATAATCCTGATTTCTACTCATTAATTAATATTGCAAGACTTGGGATTCGTTGCTCTATTTTATGAGTAGATTGCATGATCCAAAAACAGAAGTTACTGTGAAGTTGAAGTGTGCCTAGATGTTAGAATAATTTATTTTAGAGTTTCAATATAGAGATTCACTTGTGGTTTGAAGTATGTTTTAAAAATTCAGCTACTCTGTTACATTTAATCTGGAAGCCATCTTACAGGAAATTCAACTGTGAGCAAAACCCCATATGGTACCTGCTGCCTTTGAACATACAGCCTAGTGACGGAGACAGACAACCCAGTAATTATACAGTTAAATATAAACTGCTGCTGTGGCAGTCTTCATGACATAGTAGCATGCAGACTTTAAGTGGGGGATTTGATTCTACCTGTGAGTACAGGGAAGTATCCCTGAATAAGTGATGACTAGACTTCTAGGATTGGTTTTTAGCGAAATTGCTTAAAGAGAGAAGGCAAATGTCTAAGCATTGTAAGCATTGTTTAGTATAGAGCAAACTTGGAATACAAAGAGCCTGAGGTTGACAACTAAGCTATGGCAGAGAGAGAGATTGAAGGGGGTTGTGGTGTGGGATAAATAGGGAGGGACCAGAAACATGAGACCTAAAGGCTTTGCAAAGGGGGCTTTACATTTCGTCTGAAAGTAGTAAGAATCACTGGAGAGTTTCAAGCAGGGACATGGAATTATCAGATTTTCCTGTAGACATACTTACTTTGGGGCCCTCCCTGGTGGCACCATAGCTAATGCAACACAAGTTTGATCCCCAGCCAGGGAGGTGACCCACATGGAATGGAAGACCTCTCCTGTCTTGCCTGCTGCTCCCTTCAGCAGTGTACTTTAGCAGTCTACCTGTTCTGCTCCCCTCTCTGTCTCTGGTACATCCTTTCACTGCCGCTACACCTCTGGCCTGTACCCTAGTTTTATATGCATAAATGAATAAATCTTTTAAAAAAACTTACTTTGGCTGTGGGAGGATAACTGTTCACGGTTATGAAAGCTGCCATGAAGAATAGCAAGAACAGTCAGAGGAGAACCAGTAATTTATTTCATCATTAGCTCCAGGAGTAGGGGAGGAAATTCAAGAAGAGATGGTAAAGAAGCTATATTATGTTGAGGGGCCAGTCAGTAGGCCAGAGGCCTAAAAAAGCTTATTAACTGCATGACTTACAGGTAATAGAATGATCTTGGGGAGAATTTTGTTGTTGAGTAGAGAGCATAGGAACGATATTAGAATAGATTGATTAGCAAGTAGGCGGTGAAGATATGGAGACGGACCATATGCCAAATCTTCAAAAGATCATATAATTTTACTTCAAAAGATAATCTATACTTAAGAAAATCCAGCAGTAAGCTGTATAGAGCAGGAGAATGAAATTCTTTATAAGCATTTGAAAAGTGAAATTAATCAGGTTTTAAATGGCAATTAAAAAAGTTTTCAATTATGTGGGGATTATTTGAAGTAAATTTCTAATCTCCTTTCCAGTAAACATGCTAGGCATTACCCCTACCAGACAGAAGAGGTGCAAGAAGTGTGATTAATTTTATTATTAGCTTGAGTATCTGGAATTAGGAAATCAAATATGCTCCTATTATGTGCTCCAAAAGCTTGATAAAAATGGTTCTGGAATTACCTAATGTTCATAAGTTTTTATGAGCCACAGTTCAGCTCCACTAATACAGGTAATTAATTCTTCTTTCTAGAGAATTGTTTTTATCATACCCTGTGTTTCTCAGAAGTTCCACCTTTTTTATTCTGTCTCCTGCAAATAGAACTATCGATAATCTGAAGCATTTTAATACTTCAGAATTTCCCTTCAATGTTGTTAAGTAATTCATTTCAAAAACATACTTTCTCCAAATGTTGAGACTCAGAAACTAAGACCCAGTCCTTGCTGTCAAGAACCTGAGACTCTTAACTGTGGCCAATCCAATTAAAGGAGAATTTTCCTTTCCCTATAAATTTATAGGGAATTTTCCATTCCAGTGGTTTCTCAACTTTTCAAGTAAGAGAGCATTTGTTTCAATAGCAAAAATATGATTGCAGACATCTCGCATGCTTGTCTGTTATTCTTTGATTAAGAATTACATAATAAGTGAAAAACCATCATAGGTAATTTGAAATGAATATCTTATTCTGGGTCCTCCCTGGTGGCACAATGGGTTAAAGCACAGCTCTCTGAAGTTAGACACAGCCACTTCAGCACAAGTTCAGTCCCCGACCAGGGAGGTGACCCACACAGCACAGCAGATCTCTTCTATCTTACCCACTGCTCCCCTCAGCAATGACCTTCATCAATCTGCCTGTTCTGCTCCCTGTTCTGTCTCTGGTGAATCCTCTCACTGCCCCTTGTACCTGTGGCCTGTACCCCAGTTCTGTATGCATAAAATAAATAAATCTTCAAAACAAATATAAATATATATATGTGTGTATATATTATATATACACACACACACACCTTATTCCCATAGTATGTATGTAAAAATTCTAGGAACAGTGTATATCCATATGAAATATTATTTACTGAGTAAATGGGCAGTAACTCATGCAGATCCACTGAGAAATACTACATTCCCTTTGATTTATTACTGAGAATTAGAGTCTAGACCACTCATTTTCATACTCAGTTTCCTTATGATACTCTTTTAATATTGTGTATTGTTATTTAACCTTTACATGTGCTTATGTCAGTCATCTCTTTCTTGAGGGCAGAGATCAGAAATTGAATTTCCTCTGTTTATCCCACAGAAGACTGCAGTTAATAGAAGCTGAATAAAGAATGAGTGGTTTAATGTGTACCATTGATTGCTACTAATCCTTGTATATTTTTTGTTAATACCTTGCTATAGGCTTCTTCTTGGGAAATGAAAAGGAAGAAGAGTCAAAAGTTTGCACAGAAATATAAGGCTTTGATTGAAGTTGAAACCAGGAAAAGTCATCCAGATATAATCCTAGTGAGATAAACTTTACTGACTCAGTGACATCTTGAGATTTATTCACATTCGTAAAGATTAGGGGAATCCAAGATGCATTTCACATTAGTGCTTCAAAGTAACCTAGTTTTTAGGTAGAGGAACAAAACTCAAAAAGTTAATTGTCCAAAGTTACATTAACTATTAAAAATACAAGTGAAAATTTTACCTCCGGAACCATAATCCATGATGCTTTCAAATTTATTTATTAGGTTAAGAAGCCTTACTATCATGTAAATATATCTAAATTATATACATATGTCAGTTATACATAATGAGCTATATTATATGTGATTGTATATCCACATCAAGTCAATTATACATACCAAGTTGACATATATATCAGGATTATGCATATCAACACAAATACATATATATCAGTTTGAAGGTCAGCCTGAAACCGGCATACCCAAATTGAAAGCATTGAGCTTTCCATGTTAACTGGTAACATGAATTCTCACCAAATTACAATTCTGAATTGACTTAAAATCCTGGATGAGAGAAGCCTATTCAGAAAATATGGACATACTTTCCATTTACTCTTCTATATGATGTATTCCTTATTTTTACTTAGTAGTTGATATAAAAGTACTAAAAATCTAGACTTGTACTATTATAGATGCCAGCAGTGTTGCCTTGCTTCTTTGGACAAAGTATAGAACTCCTTGGTGTTGAGGAAGCATTGACTCAAAGACTGGCCACTTGACAAACATTTCACCTGCAAAACCATGTTGAAGACATTGTCATTAAGTTATATAGCTTCCTTACATAGTGTCAGTTACTCATGTTATAAATAAAAAGTTCATGTAGATGTTAGAATTTAATGTCAGGGAAAATGTTCATTATAAAAATATGAATTTTGTTACTCACAATAGTTTTTTTTTTAAACCTTAATTTCCAAGGAACTTAGAGCTAAACTTTAATCTAGAAAAGAATAACTACAGTGGCCCAAATGCTTGCTGGTTTTTAATATGATAATATAAGTGAAAGTATTTGGGTAAAGGTGTGACTTTGTTGTATGGCCTTTTGGTAAGACATCCCAGAATGCTGCTGGGAATAATTGGGGGTGAGGTTTCAGTGACAAATGAGCCAGTAGGGAACATATGATGTCGACTAGCTTTAGCCTAATTTCTGTGCCTTTCAGAAGAATTAACATTGTCATAAAGTATATTATGTAAACAATGATGAAGATTTTATTTTCTACATTTTTCATTATGGCATATTTCATGCCTACATGGTCAACTCCATTATGTGCCTGATTCTCAGCTCCAGCACGTCATCACTCATGTGCAATTTTACTTCCTGGGTGACCCTTCTTGGTACCTTCCCCCTCCACTTTACTCCCAGGCACCATATCATTTTATCTTTTGTAATGACTTTAAGAAATTATGAGAAAGGATGTTGAAAAGGTGAATGGGAAAAAAAAATTAACAGTAAGGAACAACTAAATTTGCAGTCCAAAGAAAGGGAACACCAGCATATTTCCAAAATGAAAAGATTAATTAGAGACCAGAAGGAAGGAAAACCCTACAACGAGTCTTGTAAATAATGCTAGCTTTATTTACCTCTTTGGAAAAAAAAATGTGAGAGCCATACTCATGAAAAGTTCCAGTCACTCCCTGCTTTGCAGAATCTGCAAAGTCTCTGTGCAACCTTCATCCCAGTCACCTTTCTAAGATTCATGTACAACTTTTAGTTTTTGTAATGTTTAAGAATGCTTTTATACATTGTGTGACATTTTTATTAGAATTGTCTTTATGTAATATTTCTCAAGTTGTTATGTTACTTGTGTATATGTGTGTGGTATGGTTTATTTGTATCCCTATGATTCTAGGACATCTGTTTTCAAACCCATGGTGTGTAATTAATTTGGATAAATAAGCATTATCCAGAGATGCATATTAATTTCCACGGATCTGACTGCAGTCTTTCAAGTAGGAGATAATTGCTTCTGAATGCTTCTCCAACTATACTTTAAGTTCAGGATTTTAAAAAGATTCTTCTTAGCCCCTGGATGCCTTCCTAGTTATCTTCTAATTATAGTGCCTGCTTGTGCATGTGTGTATTTGCACACATGTGTGTGTCTGTGTGTACATTTTAACTTGGACCTGTGTTTTTTGCATTCAGGGAGGCATTCAGGGATAGCAGCTATCACAGCAGGGAAAATATTTATCTGTTACATTGCACATTCCCTTTCTACAACAAGTTGCTTTTTATTATTTTGATGCATTTACTGAGGCTCAGAGCCTTATTTTTAAGTGTAATGGGCTCAGAAATATGGTGTAGTCCCCAAAAGAAAGCTTATCTCAGAGTTGATTTCCCATTATTCAAGGTCACAAAACTAGTATCATAATGGCCATTTTAATCATTAAAAATACAAAGTCTACTCACTTCTTGGTCTTTTGGCTAAGATCATATGTAAAAAGGAACTAAAAGTCTTAGTCCAGTTGAAAGCACATTCCTCTTTTATGCCAGTCTGCACTCCCCCTCCTCCAAAATGTCAGGGATGATGTTAATGTGACTGTAACATCAACCCTCACCTTGTACCTTCTGTGAGTGTGTTTTTCCATGTTGTGGGAAGAACTGCTCCATTCTGATCAGCACATTTGTTACTCCGCTGTGTTAATACTGTAATCTGCCTTGTCAGAGGTTTTTTGTTTTGTTTTGATATCAGGGCATTTCATTTCCCTCCCTTCTGAGTTTTGGACACATCTCACCGTGGCTCTCCTTTTGACAAGTTGTATGATTTCAAGTAAAATGAGAGTATCGATTACTTTTCAGATTTAAATTGGCTCTGACCATTGCTGATTATTTCAGCCATATTATCCTTCACTCATCTGCTGCGGCTCACAGTTTTAACAGTTTGATCTGTTTTCTTAACAACTTCCTCCTCCTGCTCCCCTTCATTCTTTAAAAAAAAAAAATATTTATGCATACAGAACTGGGGGACAGGCCAGAGGTGCAGGGGCAGTGAGAGGATTCACCAGAGACCAGATTGGGGGGCAGAACAGGTCTGCTGACAAAATACACTGTTGAGGGGAGCAGCGGGTGGGTCAGGAGAGGTCTGTCGTCCCATGCCGGTCACCTCTGGGGCAGAGATCAAATTCATGCTGAAGTGGCTTTAGCTTCTTAGTGCTGTGCTTTAACCTCTGTGCCACCAGAAGGGTCCATCTTCATTCTTAATTGAATGCTCTTCTTACTCCCTTTTCCCCCAAGGCCTGTCTGTTGAAACTAATTTTTTGAAAACTTTGTTTTTTCTTTTCCCAGTGAGATAATCTTCATTTTCTAGTCATATTTCATGCCTGTCTCTTTGCTCCACACTCTGAATCACATTTAACATACTCCTTAATCACTCACTCTGGGCTTCATTTTCCTTATCTCCAATGGCTTCTGATCATTTACTCTGTGTCACAGCCATGGCTTTTTTTTTTCCTTGTTGATATTTGTAGTTGACTTTGTAGGCAGTGCAGGCATTCGTTTTCAAAGTTCATGCAGTGAGAATGTTCTTGGTAAATTTTGTGTGTCTTTTGGAGTTGTGAAATCTCCAACTGGGATTCACTTATAATTCCAGGCATTTTTTGGAGATTAAAACTCTGTCAAAGTAGCAAGTTTTTTTTAAAGGATGTCTTAATCCTTTTCCAGGTGCCCTGGACTGCTTCCTGATGGGCCTTTGGAAACATCATTTGTAGGGTCAGCAAGTTTCTGTCATTATTTCTCACTGGTCTTGTTAGCATAGTTACACTTCCCTCCACTATTTCAGGGTAACTAGTATGGTCCAGATTTATTATCTCTAACCCCATAACACTTCATTTTTCAGAATTCTATCGTGTGGCCATGCATTGTGTATTAGAGAAGTTAATTTTTCTCTGTGTGTCCACAATGAAATTCAGGTACTGTCTTTCAAATGTAACATCTTATCTAATACTTGAGGGGGTAAGTATGCTTTTCATTTCCATCTTACAGATGAGGAAAATGATCACTCATGGCCACACTGCCAGGTGGTTACCTTGAACTCCTGTTTGACTTCAGCTTTCATTTATCCACTGCTTACTGCGGTCACTTCCTTCATCATCCATCTTCCTGCCCTGTCCTCACATTATTCAACCAGCCCATTCCACACAGTCAGACCAACAGATACCCAGTATGTCTCAGGTGTGACAGCTGCAAGGAGCACATAAAATACTTCACTGACTGGCATTCAGCTTCGCTACTTAGATGTTCAGAGTTCTGTAACTGAACATTCTCAAACCAGTTGCCTTGAATTCATTTTTTTAATTAAAAAAAATTTTTTAAAGTGAATTCAGCAGCTTCTCCTTGCTCAAATTAAGCTGACTTCAGTCCATTTCCCTCTTTTGTCACTCTAACTCTGACCTGCACATTGAAGTTCTTTTTGATCCACCCAGAGTCTTCCAGACAACCTACCATTACATAGTCATCATCAGGATCTTCCTTGTTGGTCTCTCCTTGCCCAGGATCATCACTCTGGTAGTGTGGCTGTGATCAGGACCTGACTAACACCTCCTACCTGACCAGGAAGTCCTATTATTTTCCATCTTCCATATTAAAAAACTCGCTTTATCCTCTCCATGAGTAAATACAGGATATTCTGTATCACTGTTTCCAAACCCATGTGTAAAGTTCAAGTTTGTTTCAGTTCGTCTCAGATAGGAAGGAAGTACAATTATTTTATAACTCCTTGTATGGGTGTATAGGTGTACCAGACAGACTATGTTAGGGGTGTTGGTCTGAGTAAAAGCTGCAGCAGTCCTATTTCATTGGGACAAGTGCCCTGTGGTCCTCGTGTGGCTAATGGTTTTTCTGAGTCCAGTGGAAAAACTTCAGTGCATTACTATGTGATAAATTCTCAGCTCAGTTTTAGTCCAGGCAAAAATTTGGTATTTGTTTGGGCTCTGCACCAACCATAACTGGGAGTGGATATTGTTTTATCATTAGCCTTCAAAGCATTAAGTGATCAGTTGTCAATAGACCTTGCTTAATAGAAGCAATCAAAATAAAAGCAAAGCAGTGGGACTAGATTCTGAAAGGACCAAGCGTCCTTTCAGAGAGAAATACTCTCAAATTTGTCATCAGAGGAGGAATGAGAAATGACCAGATAGACTAGACATCATAGGAAGGTTCTGTTCTGACAAGTGACTAGGAAAGCCAGGCTGAGACTACAGCTGACAGCTGGTAAAGCAAGTCCTCCACTTGAAGAAAGCTTAAGTTGAGGAACAGTAGGAGAATAAAACTGTCAATGCCAACAATAAGTTAGAGACATTAACAAGAACACTTTTGTGAGATTGAATAAATAGCACTAGCTTTTTATTACACATGCACATACTTTTATCCTGGTAGAGCACATGCTTCACAATGACATTTTGCAGATTTTCTGACTCAAATAGGAAGCAACATTTACCTTTAACTTATGTACTTGTACTTGCTGTTTTCATATTTATAATAATCTTTCAGTCACTGCTCTCAATATTAACAGCAAACCCAGATTACTAAGACACTTAAAGAATACCTGTAGTGTGGTTCTATATGCCTGCTGAATAACCAGGGGCCATACTACCTTTTTGTTGGACTGGCTTTTTATGAGTTCAGACTGGCAGACGGATGCATATTCTTTTCCCATTCTGCAGACATTCTCAAAAATTTCATGGCCAGATCACTACTGAGGCATGTACTTTAGGAGGTTGGCAATGGAACCTCTGGTATTTACCCAGAAAAATGCAACCTCCAGTGTCTACAATGCTAGGGTGTGGCATTTTCTGGGCCTCAGGAAAGGTGTTTGATCAAGGAGATGGATGGAGCCATCTCCCTGCCTCAGTACTTTAGTTCTCCAAAGGGCTAGAGGCTGTTCTGACTATGGAAAGGAGTCAGCTCACTCTGAATCCCTCAGGGCATTGACTTACTATAAAAACTGAAGAACCTCTGGAAATGCTGTTGAGCTTCCAGCTTGGGTTTATGCTCTGTAGTGGCCAGACTATAGCACAACCTAAGCAGCAACTGTGAATGTTCTGTTTTGTCGCCAATACTTTATAACAATGTAAGCAATGATTCTAAAAAGCAGATTAAAATAAAGAAAAGCAAATTATTGTATAGCCAGTCCCTACACCAAAGGGAAATATCATGGGCCATAAGAAAATACATGCAGATTACATCAGGAGAGAGGGAAGGAGAATGATCAAACAGGCAGTAAGAGCACAAGGGACTGTGATGATGGTTCACGGGTGATGTGGTGGTGGGAGATTTATAGGGACCACATCTCAAGGGAGACATTAAATATTGTACAAAAATGAATAACAATTTAAGAAAATAAGAAATTTACTAACAAATAAAATAAAAATAGAACTACCGTAAAAATACATGCAGATGAAGATATGTGACTACTTTGATCTAATTATTCTGTATATCTGAGTATATTACAATATACAATGACTATATTTACATTATCATAAATATGCATTCAGTATTAGGTTAAACGTTCAATATAAATATCTCTCTGTTACTGGAAAATAAGTCCATTAAAGTAGAACTTTATTGTCTTTACCATAACAATGTCTCCCCATACTGGGAATTCATTTTGATCAAATAAATTAGTGGAAGAAAAGGGGCTTACAACATAATGCCATGGAAGAATGAAAATAGAAAGTACCTTTAAATTTAGCAGAAAGCATTTACAAATCTAGTAGCCTTTATGAGCCCTTGATAATAGATGTTCAGAGTGGAGCTGGAAGCAGAGAAATAGAAGGAAAGAAACTGGATAAAATGGTGGCATCCAGTACTTAAGCGTCCTTAACAAAAGCCAAATTAGGTAAGTGTTACACAGTTACCTCTGGTATGCGCTTTTTTCTTCATTCTGACTTATTTATGATTTATTTATCCTCTTAAATAGATACTTCACAAAATTGAGCATGTGGTATTATACTGATCCGTGGCATCCCTTGGAGAACTGATAAATCCCATTCTGCTCATTGTTAACATAATTTTAATTAAGGCCTCTTAAACCCTATGTTAAGACTTAACTATAATCTCATTTACTGTGTGGGAGGTGTTATCTGTTTCATGACAGAGGTAAAATCTTAGGAAAGAGATATGCCCAAACTGCATAGTAGGAAGCACAGTTAAGCTTTAGTGAGTGGAGAACATTTCTATAATGAAATGAAAAAGCTTTGTAAGTAGTATCAAAATACACAAATAGTATTATTGAAAAGATGACTGCTTGTCTTGTCTCAGCTTGAAAAATTCAGACCTTCAAAACTACAAGTACCATTCTAGTTGAAGGGGACACTCAGATGTTAAACTGTAGTCTTCTAAAGCAGACACTGGTCTGTGAATCATTTATCTCAAATCTTTTAAGTATTGTATGCTTCCATCTAGTAAATACAGAAAAGGGAATGAAAAAGAAATCTCTCCTTCAAGAGAGATTGTAAACCTTTGTGTAAGTAACATTTTTGGCAGGAGGGCGGGCAAAAAAACATATCTTATCCTTATGGTAACAGCCCTAACAAAGCAGATAATTAACAAAATGCAAAAATAATTTCATGGTGTTGTGTTACTACCACCAGTGACAAAAGTTCCCTTCTGAGAGTACTTTATTTTTGTTAAAACTGTATACTTCCATCCTGTCTGATTTTCATTGCAAATCAGAGCTAGCAAAGAAAACATACTCAGCCTGAGCAGTAATGTCATGGATTGTAACAAAGTGGTTATGGCTTAAAGCATAACTAGTTCCTCTCATAACCTTATCTCAGGCTTGCTATTAGCTGCTGTGGAAAGTAGTCTCGGCTGCTTATAAACTGTCAAAAATACTTAGTCCTATGTTAGAGACCAGCACTGTACTTTTTATAGATCAGAAGAAAACCAAGTTTTATGTTACATTAAGCATTTTGTAAAATGAACTTTTAAAAATATAACCATTTTAGTTACTTCCAGGAGTATGGCTTTATAGTATAAGTACAAAAATACTGTGAAATAGATAAAAATGATTTTTTGTTTTATTTTTTTTCTTTCTCTTAATTTCGGTCAAGTAGAAAACTACAGTAATGGGCAGCCTCGCAGTTCTTTCGTTGCTAGGCTACACATGTGCCCATTTAACCTGCTTCCTGACAGGGCTTTTTTTTCAGGGTGTCATAGAAAATACCTGCCTTTTCTGTGGGAGGGGAGGAAAAGAGGGTTGATAGCCCGCCGGTCCATGTTTATTTAGCACGTTAGCGAGGATGTGAAGGAGCTATACAAAATGGGTATAGCTCTGAAAAACTGACAGCCCCCCTACATTTCACATGGGAGTATGGAAGTGGAGAGCACAGTTGTATTCTGGTAGAGCAAGGGACAGCCAGAAGCTTTTACCTTAGCCCCATCCTCTCTGTTGTTTCTGCCTTGTCCTCCACCTTCTCTCAGATTACTAAATAAGATTACTAAATACATTAAGGTAACTTCTAGATCTTTTTCCTTATGAGCATCTCTCTCCTTTCACCTCCTACCCTTGTCCCCACTCCCCTTCCTCCTTATTCTCTCTCCCTCTCTCTATATATGTTTCCAAAATATCAGTTAGCTTCTGTGATTCTCAAAGTGATGGTGAATCTGACTTTAGACTGGAGCACTGTGCCCCCGTCCTCAGTCTTCCAACCCACTTTGCTGTTCAGTCTCCCTCCCCAGCCCCCTGACCCCTCATCACACATGAACCCTTTCACTCTCAGGTGCTGCTAACCCTCCTACATTCAAGACTTTAGTGGCCCTTTTGGGCAAAATTCCCAGGCTTCCATTAGAAAATAAGATGTTCCATCCCTTAACATTCCAGGTTAGTTCATCACCCCTATCATACACTGGGGTCACAGGCCTCTGAAATTTAATTTCACTGATGTTGAGCTCATATTCTCTTTCTGTAGTAGCCAGAGAAGACTCCATGATTATTCTGGTAAACCAGATAACTTATTTGTTGGAGGCATTGTTATAGCCTTGTGGGTTTGTTTTCTTTTTTTTTAAACATCGATACAAACACAGGCAAACATGTAAAAATCTCTATCAAGAAATTATAGAAGTAAATGTGGCACTTGTACTGCAGTTATTTTTGAGGTGTATGCTCATATAATTTTCTACACTTAAAATTGCTTCCCTTCGTATCGTGCATAAAGCTGTGCTTCTGGCAACATGATGGCGCCTCTCCTCTGACATGGGCTCTGTGCTCAAGGTCATTTTTGTAACCTATAATCTGCCCTCAGGTTTTGTACAGTTTGCAAGCTTCATATGGAGTTTGTTTTCCAGGTTTCGGATGAAAGTGACACAGATGTTTCATTGAAAGAAGAAAAAAAGGAAGTTTCTCTTATGAAGAAAGGTACAAAGAATTCATTTGGCATCGATTGGTCGTAATTAGAGTCATTTTCAATATGACTTATGTGGTATGTCTCTGTTGGGTAGAGATCAGAAGTTTGGCAGCAGTTTATACTTCAAGTCTAATTTGTTGCCCCAGATGAGGGTGAGGAGGTTGGTGGAGAGTGAGCTGTCCATCTCGTGAGTTCAGGGCAGAGAGGCACTCCTGCCGGTGGGTGTGCTCCCAACACTGCTTGAAATTCAGTGACAGTACACAAATGTCACCCCCAGTGGAATTTTGCTAAGGATTGTTATCATGCCTATAATTTTCAGGCTCTGTTTTGAAAATTATAATGATGTACCCCTATTTCCAATCACTGAGTCCTTTTCCACTTTTCATGATTCCTCTGATCACTAAGTATTTCAACAAACACATTAGATCCTTCAACAAACACATTGTCTCAGCGAAGAGATTTGAACTTTTAAAAAATTTTATACACCTTACAGTATTCAATCAAAAGAATTTCATTTGTGAAAGAAGCTGAAAACCATCTAAGAAAATTCTTACTGTCCACTCATTATTATACTATAATTCTTTTGCTATATGTTATATTACTATTATATCACTCCCACTTATAATATTATTCCTCTAGACTTAAGCAGTAAATCTTTATTTTCATTACCATCTTCTTATTCTGAAACAAAATTAAAAACCTGTCTTAGCTTCCTTAGCAAGTCTCAGTCCATTTTGGCTTCAGCGTTTACAGTCCTAAATGCGTGCATCCAGCTATAACTTTATGTTCATTCTTGGTGGTAAGCTCTCCCTTTCTACAGATTTCATAGCTTAGATAACTTAATTATTCACTCACATCTTTATATTTGAACCCATTTAGGTCCCAAAGAAACCACACCTTTTCTTTTTCATCTTAATTAGGAGAATTTGCAATTCTACAATCAAGATTTCTTTTTAAGTCTTTTTAATTTTAAAGCGAATCTTTCACAGAAGTTTCAAACTATTAACCTGCCTTCAAGTATGTGCCTGTTAGATTTCCAAAGTCTAATAAAAAATTGTTGATACAGTTTTGAACCTAACAGTTATATTTAATTTAAAATATCCATCCAGCATTTATACGGACCAAGTTGTGAAAACATCTCAAATAACTGTAATTATATGTTAGTTGGATCTTGGGTTAAAAAATTTGCACTTGGTGTGCAACTTATTGAGTAAAACCAATAGTACGTTAGTGAGTAAAACCAAGTACAGTGTGCTTGCAAACTTTTCTATTCCCTTTTTTATTTCTGGGAAAGAGCCAAGAAGATCCTCAGCCAGTTATTCACCATCTAAAATATTCCTTGTTGCTGTATCCACTTGGCCTCAAATGACCCTAAACTTATTGGCAAGGGTTTATTTTTACTTGGTGGAACAAGATATTTAGACAGTTACCATAAAGAATGCACCTGCTTGCACTGACATAACTTTACTCCTTCTAGACATGAGCAGGGAGATAAAGGATGCATTGACTTATTGATTATTCTGTTCCTAAGGAACTCTTAAAATCAATCCTTGGGGATCAAATATTTCCACTTTGCTGTAGACAAATCACTAGCCTCTCTGAACTCCAACTTTGAGGTTCCATGAGTGAGAAGTCTGACTAGATAATGCTAGGTCTGACCTTGTATTAAATTTTGACACTCTACCAGAGACATATTTCTGATTGAGATCTCTCAGAATCTTTGATTCTGAATCTAAAATGGAAGAAGATATTAGAGTGAAGACAGCTACTTGCCAGGAATTAGGCTATTGAGAGGTGATCATAACGGTCTGATCAGTCATTTCATGCCCACAAACAGCAGACAATAAGCATTGTAAAAAAAAAAAAAAATTACAAGAAGTTGCACATTACTACACACATTTTTCTAAAGGGTTGTAATAAATTGCCCTAAAAACAACACCACAAGTTTACAAAAGGATATTGAAATGTGCAAGTAGCTAATGAACCGCTAATATTTTTTGCAGTTCACTTTATTGTGTGAGCATCACAATGGGGTTGTCTTCATTTTGTCTGTGTTCTTTTGAAGAGAAACCGGAGCTGTGCAGTGACACTCCAGAAATAAAGAGAAGCTCTTCATTACCTAACTGGGAACGGTGAGTGTATTGCAATTATACAAATTCCAAATGAATGCAATTACACTGTTGAAAAGTAATTATCAATGTTTAAATACAAGAAGGAAGAAAATAGTAGCAACAAGCAAAGGCAGTTAATATCAGAGCTTAATTTTACCAAGCATACAAGGACGACGATAATATACTAGGTTTCTTACCTTTTCCTTAAGTTTTTTTCTTTTACAAGTTTTTGGGAATAATAAAACAGAACAGGCTTACCTCACAGCAAGTGACTAATTCAAATAAATGTAACATACTCAAAAAGCTGAAAATGTCACATATGAGTATGATTATGAAATCATGAACCTACTTTTTTCTGCAGCTGATAATCTTGTTGTCATGCATATATGTAATTTTACTAATCACTGCATGCTAGAATTTTCTTGACATGCCTTTTGTCACTTTAAAATAGAATCATATGAATATTTTGGATACGCAGGAGAATCCAAAGGATGTTTTTAAGGAAGCAGACTTCTGTCTTCACTCAACTGCGGTTACATCTAAGCTGCTTTACAGGCATCTAGACCCATTGTCTCTGAATGTGAATCCTATACTCTTAGCAGAGGCATGTATTGAATTAACTGCAAGAAAATAGACTGAAGCTTTTATTTTCTTACACTTGCTCACAGAGTAGCCACTCTGACACTCAAATCCCATCACTTCACACTTCTACTCAAAAGTTTTTCATAGTCCTATCTATTTCAAACAGGTAAGTTACCAACGTCTTACCTTGACACCAAGCCCCTTTGATCCTGTCTTTTTTCTTACTCCCTACTTTGCTTCTCAGAGTTTTAACATTCCTATAGTTCTGTTCTATCACATACTTCCATCTTTGTCCACACCACTTTGTCAAATGCCTGCTCTAACTTTTCACTTAAAACTCAGTCCAAATGTTCTCTCCCCTGACTCCCTCAGACAAACTTAGGTATTCACAGAACCACAGTGCAGTGATCAGATTGCACCTAGGCTCTGACATACGGTAGTGAACAGAGCTCATAGTTAGGTGGAATTGCCTGCATGATAGTGTTCCCTTTGGTCATAACCTTCGTTAAGAATAAGGGCTGGCAAAATCAAAGCAGAAATAAATGAAATGGAAATCAGGAAAACAGTCCAAAAAATCAATGAAACCA